CAGGCTTGCTATTAGTCCAATAATCCTTGTTGGTATTCCTCTCAGCCTCAGGATCTCCCAAAGTGACTCCCGATGCACCGTATCGAACGCCTTCTTGAGGTCGATGTAGGCTATATATATATGTAGGCTATATACAATATGTATATATATATATATATATATATATTATATATATATAATATAATATATATATATATATATATATATATATGTATATATATGTACTAGCCTGGAGGCTAAGAGGCAAGGGAGACGAAACGGTATAAGAGGGACAGGAGGAGAAGCACTCGGGAACCACGGGGCAGGTGAGGACAGGAGAACGGAAGCGAAGGGAGGTCAGGTCAGGTCGGTCAGGTGGTCTGTGTGACAGGTGGTCGGCATAAGGGAGGAGACGAAGGATGTGGGAAGCGAGGAGGCTGTCGGCAGGAGAGAAACCGCTGTTTAAGTTGAAATTAGGCAGCAGCTTAATGAGAGAAGATTCCACCAGTCTGCGGGCATGGACATATAAATGTGACAGACTAACTTTATGGCACGCCATCTAAGCATACTACGGTAGAACATATGTGGCTTCAACTCAATAAATCCCATCCTCCAAGCAATACTGCAGTCAAGAAACATTGACATGGTCATGCTCCAGGAGACATTAACAAAGAATTTTGTTCGCTTCTCAGGCTATCATGTCTTTATGTTGCCAAGCACATCTAGCAGCAGAGGCTTGATCAACCTAGTCAAAGTAACAATCCCCTGCTCCTTAATAGCCGACCCACCGAACAGTGGAGATGGTGTCGAATCTCTTGCTGTTGAGATCCACCTAGTTGGGGGCCTCCTCATGTTGTACAATGTGCATATCAGACCAACCTGTAGAAGCTTAGACGTCAGTCAGGTCTACGCCAGTACAGCACAAGACAAAGTAATTACAGGAGACTTCAGTGCACACACCCCATTCCGGCTTCCTGTACGAGACTAGATGTGACAGGCAATCACAAAGCCAATGTACTTGGGACATTCTCTGAGATTGCTCTTCTCAACACCCAAGAACCAAAGCATATGAAGGGAGGGGTCCTAGACCTCACCTTTGACAGAGCACCCATGGTGGACAGAATCAGATGGTATGTCGATGAGACTGTTACATGTGTGTGTGTGTGTGTGTGTGTGTGTGTGTGTGTGTGTGTGTGTGTGTGTGTGTGTGTGTGTGTGTGTGTGTGTGTGTGTGTGTGTGTGTGTGTGTAATAACTATCTGGCTATTTATAACCATCTATAAGAAAAGGAAGTGAATGTTCATTTCATTGAATACCATTTCCTATCTTCCATATCTGTATTTTTTCTCTACATGCCTCTAACAAATTCATGTAATCAACTGTTTCAGAATAGGACTCTTGTTACACTGATCTATTGATTATTTGCTTGAAGTATTTCATATGCCAGTTACCAAGTAATTTCTGTAGTTAGTAAAATCCATCATATATAGTTTTTTTTTATTATTATTGATTTACATCCAACAAAATTCTTTCAGTAGGGCAAATTCTTTTTCATTATCATATTATAGGTTTTTTCTTTTCTTTTTTACAAAAAAATAACTTTTTCTCTCATTTCATTTTCAAATCACAGAGTACCTTATTATATCATCCAAAAGGTCATAAAACAAAAATCTTTATTTACACATATTTTCTTTCTAAACACTTTACCAATTACATTTTTTTTCTTTTTACAAATCTTAAAACATCTTATCACGCATTAGCATACACCCCTTTCAAGAGACTAAATACCCTAGGGTTGTATCCTTCAAGTGTGGGCTTTGCTGCACGGTAAGAGCATGAACTAAACAGAGTCTCCCACGGCTGGGTCCAGAAGATGTTCTTTGCGGGGCCTGTGAGATTCAGGGTATTCAGCTGGAAGGCGCTTATGTGGTACTGGCAGCCATTCGTGTGTACCACTTGGACTACTACAGGCTGTGCAGTGAGGTCTTCGTCGGAAGTCTTCATATGATTTAAGAAAGAAGAAATTAAGATTGGGTTAAGAGGTTATCTCCTCCAATTATAAAGTTGAAAACAATGAATAGTAATAAACGGACAGTGAAAAAGTAATTTGGTACTTTGAAATCAAGAGAAACTTTCTCTTCTGTAATACAAGTATCACCTACTACCCAGTATATCTTCAGTATAAACAAGAATAAAAATTCTTTGAAACTACAAAATAAAACCAAGAAAGAAACATTCACCTTGCCAAAATGCTTAGCATAGGAAGCTGCATGAGCAAAGCCATGAAGGAGAGAGAGGGCTTGGAAATGCTCCTCCTTGCCTCTCATTCGCGGCTCATTGTGGTGAATGAAGATGGTGTGAAGATGGACTCGGCTCGAGCCAACACCTGTTACAAGAGAGAGTTTAGTGAAATGGAACAGGTTGTGGATGTTCTTCAATTCTGTAACATTTGATATTTCTCTACAATAAATGACTATAATGAGAGAAAGTTTAGGAAATGTAACCCCTTGGATAATTGAGAG